TAATCCGTTTATTTAATAAAATGTTCTTGTAAAAATACCATCCCGTGCAAAACTAAAAGATGTGATACGCCTTACACCATATTTTGCTTACCTATGTAGTACGGGCGTTTGCGCCGGTAGTTCAGCTTGTAGAAGACAATGGAGACGACCATTGTGAAGCTGAAAATGCTGATGAGGGGGATAGCTAGGATGCTAATTAGGATAAAGATAAAAATTATGTTTATGAATGATACACCTCCAAAAACTCTTTTGTAGATCGTTTAAACTTCTTATACGAGTATGAAAAGTTTTCGTTTTTTTATTTTATTGTTTTTTCAATTCATTCACACTTTAAAACAGTAAATTTACTTTTCTGGAAGTTATTATTCTGCTTTAATTGTTGATTTTACCCTTTAAACGAAATTTAGAGTTTTTTAAATACTAATTTAACGCTCAACATTTGTTCACTTAGCATTTTTTTCCATGTCCTTAATGTTTTACTTCTATTTTTCTTTAATATCGCAGAATTCATTGTAGCAGTCTATATGCATGGAATAAGTTCATTTTTAGCGCTACTATGTACAGTACTATTGGACAAAAACCTGAAAGAAATGGACTTTTATTCTTAATTTGACAATATATGGTACGGAAATATTATCCCCCTCTAGGTTGTATCGTACATTTGGCGAGAAAGAAAACCTCACCTACTGAAAGTTGAGGATTTTCTTGCAATTTTAAAAGCAACCTTAATAATATCAGCAGCTTCTTCATGATTCTCATGATTTGGTTTTTCGCTATAGTAGGTAAGTTGTGCTATTCCAGTTCAGTGCAAATCCCATATTTTTAATTAAATTATTATTTATTAAATTGCTTAGATAGATACAGGTCTTAAAAATTAATATACCTATTATAAATCATACGTTTTTCTTTTTTATAATTCATCAGTTATTGACTTTAAAAAACACTGCTCTTACATATATCAGCATATTTATATAGACATTTTCAAATTGATTACCAAAAATTTTACCCAATAATTTCGGAAATAACAAGTAATAATGTGCCCTATAGAAAAAACCGCATCGGCTTTCAGGAACTGATTAACATCAATCTTGCTTTAGCGCTGAGTATTAAACATATAACCAAAATTGAGTTTCAAAACTATAGTATATTAAGTATGGAGAACGGTAAGGGATTTTTACCGTTCGAAGACAATTGTTTGGAGGAGGAGCGAAGCGACGACTCCAATTATTGTCTGAGAACGGTAACCCTTAACGTTCGACGTGCTTATAACATTTTTTGCGCGATCGAAATTAAAATTATGCAACCAATATAAATATGCACTAAGAAATTAACGAGCAGAATAAATCGAAATGATCGAAGTGGTATGGTGTAATCACTAGGTAACCAGTTTATTTGTCAAAATTGAAATTAATAATTTCATAAAAATGTGCATGTGTCTGATGTAGTTTACTAGCTTTGCACTTCCTTTATGACTTTATGAGCGTCTTGCTATAGGAAACAACAGCACAAATTGTACGTTTAATGTACCTAACAATAATTAAAGATTAAATGTAATGTAAGACTGTTGATTTTTAAAAAGGCGTCGGTAAGTATTTTTGCTGTTCTGTTTTTAGATCGGTAAGTAATTTTGACGTCGTCGTAATCATAGCAACTGGTAAATTCTACCTACTGTCATGGAAACACCCATGGTAAATAGTCAGAAATGACCGATCGCGCAAAAAAATAAATTACGCTTTTGAAAATGCTCATAAACAGATTCTTGCGGGAGCAATAACGCCGTTTTTCCTATTGATTCTTTTATTACCCAAAGCCGAAGTTTAATGCGTTTAGACCGTATCCGCTCTCGATTTTTCCCTTTAACGATTATTGGCCTTATTTCTTTCATATTTTAGATACAACCAGCAGATGGTACATAATGACACTATCGTCTATCTAACAGAACCCCGACTTTTCCACGAATTCGCAATTCTCTCCGCTAAACAATATCTCAACTCGCTGCGATCCTCTAAATCAACGTAAAAAAGGTAAATCGGGTTTTCCTACCCGCGTTTTCCGTTACGAAAGGGTGAGTGGGTTTAGGTCGTTGACTTTCTGAGTTTGTTATTGACGTCACAAATATATTACCTAAGAGATTTCTTTTCATACGGCTGTTTCTTTATTAGGTGTTAATGCGTTAACTTTTAAAAATTGAAATTTGTGAGCCCTAAAGCTTCCATTTGGATATGCAGTTTCATGTCACTAACGAGAGTGTAGCGTTACATTCTCAATTTGAGAGGTAAACAAAACTATTAAATTTTCTTATGGGATATCTACCTAAATGAATATGCATTAACTTTGAGATTGGCGAAAGCTCCGAAACAGTTTAGCTAATTACATTGTAACTGAATTTAATTTATTTTGGCTCTCTACGTAGCACAAGATAAACAACCCATAAATATGTTAAAATCAAATTGATTATAAAACATTCTGTGTTGCTTTTCTAATAAATTAATAACCAAGTGATGTGGTCGTGTACGGAGATGTATGAATTCATCAAATCTTTACCTAAAGTTATACTTTTCAGAGAAAGGAGAAATAATATTTCAGCTCAAATTCCTGCATATACAAATTCCAAATGATCATACCTCAAACCTCAGCCAGCATGGCAAGTGGATTCGAACGCAAATTATAATTATTCATCAACACTTTGGAATATTAAAGAGGGGTTCGTGCAAGGGTTGATGTTTTTATAATTTCCTTTCTTAATAAATCACGTTTCAAATTGGAATTATGCTGCAATAGATATTAGTCAAGCAATACCTAAAATAAATATTTCTTTTCTTATATATAAGGGTCAACAACAACAAAAAATGTATGTTTTTCATAAAAAATTATTTATTTATTTGTTTAGCCAGATACCATACAGAATGCAAGTATTCCAATTACATGACACTGAGATGCTGTACTTTAACCTAAAACGACACAGTAATTACGATCTAATATGACTAATTAATTCATTCAAAGAGCCGTGAAATATATCGATGTCTCTCTCACGACACTTCTTATTTAAAGCCAACAGGCTCCTCGATAGTGGCGATGACGGGGTGGTCACTAAAAAGATGATATGGATTTTCCTTAATTTAACATGTGGCACTTTGAGTTTAATTTCCTGAAGCAATTCTAGGGCATTTAGGTGATTATTCAGTATCTTGTACACAAAGGTAGCACAGGTTACTTCGCGTCGGATTTGTAAACTTGATATTATAATACCGTGCACACTATTTAAAAATTTTAGTTGGTTGGAGTAAGAGATTCAATGTGGAAAATTTTGAGTCGACCTAAAATACACTATTCGCACTAATTTTTTTTAACTTTTGGTAGCTAGCATTTCAAATTCTCTTACAATGATTAAAAGTATAACATATACTGATTTTAAATAAATCCTTATCTTTTCAAAAATTAATAACAATTGTACATTTAACGTATTACTTATTTATATCTATGCACAACCCATGAAGAATTTTTCCAAACATCTTTTGTCCGGCAAGATCACAGAAAGATTCTGGCCAGTCCAAAAAAAGATGAAAGGTTCTAAAGAATAAAAAGAACCAGAAGAAATCGGAAAATCTAATGTATCTGAAGCATCGAAATGTACGAAGAGCCCGAAGGATCTACATAAGCCAACGAATCTGACCAATCAGAAAAATTGGAATTCGAAGAAAGAAAGAATTTGAAGAATCTTATAAATCTAAAGGAACTAAACATTGAGAAAAGATTAATAACGGGAATTGATTAATATAATAAAACCTAGGAACCGGAAAAATATAAAAAATAATCACAAGACAGAGGAAAACATACTGTGCGACTCTTAGGAAAAGTTTAGTTAAGAGTTTATGCCATTTTATTTTGCCGACGACGACGTGCAATGGAATCTGTATTGAACAATGTGTAGGCACATCGGATTCTTTTAACAATCAGATTCAGAAGATTTTGACACATTCTGAGGCAAAGATCAGAAAAAATATGAGATGCCTGATACAATTCCCAATGTATCTTCGCAAATCTTAACACTTTAACAATTTCATTTTGAACGACATCCAATTGGGCAAGTTTTAAAAATTAAGAACGTTTTAATAGACGACATGCATTAATGTACATTAAATTAAACCATAACCCGCTGTAGATCAATATTACCAGTTTAAAAATATTAACGACTTTTGGCGTACTACAGTTATAAACATTAATTTTTATTACAGTTCTGTTTATTGTTGCCCAATAAAAATTGTAGGTCAAACAAAGCCATTTATTCTCGTTTAAAGACACTAAATTTGACAACTGACATTTCTATAATTATTATTTAAATTGAAACATTCTTCGCGTTCCTATTGTAAGCTAAATTGTATAATAGCTATGTCAAAAAATGTTTAACATAAAAATAGAACGAGTCCAATCTAAATTGTTGCCACTAACGTCGGTGAGATATGGCCTCATTTGAGAAGTAAAATGTTACCATATTGCTTTCGAAATGTAAATTTTAGGTTTTTAAAAGGAGTATAAAGTGTAGGATCCTATAAAAACAACGTTTATTATTAGAGTTATGACTCGTAAAGACTCCTTGCAACGCATTTATTAAGATCATAGCGAAACTGTCTATTTTCTAAATGCGGCTTTATTTTGCAATGTTTGTGAGTGGTTGCTGTTATGCACACACACAACAAATTCTACAATCCTTCTCATTCTCTTGGAATATTGTTGGGCTGTATCCTGTATGGAAAATCAGTAAGACGCGTTGGAAAACGCGCTATATGAAGAGGAAATTAAAAACAAAAAAGTCTTCCTATAGCAGGGTTCGCATATCTTCCTAACTTAATTAAGACGTAAATTTTTCTCATTACAAATTTACTCGAGTACCTACCCCTCCTTGTTTTTGGTTGTTAAATATTTATCGCTCGTAAGTAGAATATAAAACTGCGAGGCATTAAAAAGTTTGATAACAATATAAACCGTGCCATGCTTATAAATCTCAATATTAGATATAGAGCATTTTCGAGCTATAAAATATGATCCGCCGAAATTAGCAATTGCATAACATTACCCTGCTTATTTGTATATTACACTTTTTTTTTCATTGCAACATTTTTATTGTAATCTAAGGCGAGCGAACGTTGGAAAGCTTCTTATAAAATTACCGAGGACCCTAAGTACATAACAATGGCGAGGCGGCTTAAAAGTTCAATACTGCTTGGTACAAGTTTGCACTAACGTTTGCGTGGTGTTATCTTGGTTTGCGGAATCTGTATAAAACAAATAAAACATTAAACATACGTATGGTTATGGGCTATCCTCAATTTTTTTTACTGCGTGCGTGTGTGTGCTAAGTTTTTTCTTGATTATAAAAAAATGACGGTGATAAACCCTATTACTGTGAAAACGCGTTTCTCAGCATCCATTTAATTTTTTTGCTGCAGCTTTTATGTGTGAGAAAAATTAAAAACACCGTACTTATAAGTAAGTGTTTTCAATAGCTATCTAGTCAACGGTTTAACTTTAAATATTTTAGTTTGTTACCTGAAGATGATTAACAATCGAAACATGTCGTAACATTTCACAATTATATCTGTTCGTCAACAATTAAAATTTCCATGGGGAAGGTTTTGAGGAATTGAGTCGTTTATTTCCTGTATGGTTCATCACCCCATTTAGAGCATGGATCAACCACGAGTTTTTTCTGAAAGTATTCGTCACAAAATTTAATTTATATTAGTTAATTTATATAAATTAATTGATTGTTTAATTGATTAGTGGCGTGCCATTTGCAATAAATGACAATACTAATTTATAGATCAAGAAGAGAGGAAGTTAATTATTAAAAAAAAAGAAAAAAATATTTTTAGAGAAAGATTATCTCTAGAAATGAAGACTTCTCAAGACATTTTTCTAGGAAGGATAAAAATGGCCATATCCAGCTACAAAATTTCCTTATCGTAGAAGCATAATGAACAGTAACATTAAGCCTGCATATACGACTAGTAGAGACACCCTGGAAGTAAAAATTTTAACCCCACTGACGACCTTTCGTGGTTGGATATAAACCTCAAAGTAACCTCAACTCAATTGATCAGTGTATAATGAAGTGTGGTGAGCCTAGGTCAATATATTACCACCTCCACCTTTTCAATTAGGACTAACTGTTCAATTACATCATCATTTTCGTTCAAGATAACTAATAGTAATAGACAGTACAAATGGTAATTATGATGAATTGTGAAAAACAGCCAATTCATGTTAATTTTTGTTTAATAATTTGCCATTTTATTTACCTGTATACAAAAATAAAAGAATAAAAAATAACCGTAGACTTTACTTCATTATTTTCAAAATGATGGCCACTTTAATATTGCAGAAATATTTAAATGGAATGAAAAGAAATGAAGTCGGTGGTTATTATTTTATGCTTTTACCTTTGTATTTTAAATATTTTTGCCTAATTTTATTGAAACAACAAAGTTAAACATTTTTTAATGAAAAATACAAACTTCAGCCGCTATCTTGAATGTTGATTGATTTCCCGGGTCAAAAGTAAGGGGAATTCTGAATATGTTAAAATGGACACTTTTCACAAACAATACAAAAAGAATCATTTCTGTTGCAATGTTGCCCAGGTCAGGGGAATTTTTATACAATTTTGACTGCACTAAAGGCATTTTCTGATACTACAATCATTCCAAAATATTGTATTGGGTTAGTGTTGCTCCTTCTGGAAGCGTTTGTTTATACGAATATTCCAGGAGAGAACATTATGAGGTGAAACTATACGGGTACGAACACTCCGGAGATGAATTGAATTTGCGGGGCGAAGTTTTTAGGGGCGAAGATTTCGGAGCGAATTTTTGTGAGACGTACATTTTTGCGAAATTTCACAAAGGGATTCATTACAATCATGACCGGAATTCATTGCTAAATGAATGGATGCAGAACTATAAATTCTCCAATGTAAAAACATTTCAGTTACCAAGTTCTTGTAAAAAATTGGCAAGTTACCCCCGAAGTTAAATTGCCTTTTTGATTTCAACCGTCTTCGCACATCACCTCCACGTTTGCAATTCATACGATTAGGTATGTAAAAAGCGCATTTGGCTGACGATATGTATCGTTTCAAAAATTAATATTCATTTGCGCTAGCTAGAGGGATTTCATATTTACTTGATCCTCGTATTTAGATTCCCTGATCGTAAATAATCCGGACTACAAAAATGACGTACCGTTTAAAATACTAAAGATGCTTGTTTTCATAAACAATTAATCCGCGTGTCAAGTAATGAAATGATGTTTTATTTGGCGTAACGCTTATTTTATATTTATATGAGAAAAAAGGTGAATAAAACTAGGGCATTAAGTGTATTCTCAAAGCAAACAATAAACTTAACGTTTTCGCAATTCAAATAAGAGATATTTTTATAATAGTGTCGCAATTATGTGAAAAGTGCTAATAAGTTTCGTAGTAATTTATGTATACGTGCAGCGGCTGGTATTTAGAGGATGTCGTTAGAAGCAATATGAAGGAAGGTATAGGAGATAGAACGGTAGGTATATATCGATCCTATGATACGAACCCCCTCAGGATCAGAGAAGTGCTTGGACCGCGGGATTATAAACTCTCTACTTGCTCATAAAGGTGTGGCGCGGAGGTACTTCGCAATTTCTAAAGAATTAATTTTCCTTCGGATGCATAATTTTAACTGGGAAAAGGATTAATAATTGTGCTAGGATCTCAACGTAATTAGTTCATCGGAATAATGTGCAAATGTTACTAATTCTTCAAATTATCAAGCTTATTTCAAATTACATTTTACACGCCATCATATACGCCAGATGCGTTTTCGTAATTCATCACTTTAATTGAATTAAATTATCTCCGTTGATATCGTATACACTAAACGCTCTCAGTACTTAATGCGATAAAAACCATTCAAACTTTATTTCCGTTACATATACATTTATTTGTCTCTTTTTTTTTTTTTTTTTCTTTTTCCGCATCAACCGCTGGGGTTATTAGCGGTGTAGTGTTGTTGTATGAGTATGGTGTGTATGTGAGGGTGTGTGTGTTGGTGTGAGGGTGGGTGGGGGTGTGATGGTGTGTCTGTATATGTGTGTATTTCCTTTTCTCTTCTATGTGTGTATAGGTACAATTTGGTGTTTTGGTTAGTTGGGTTTTTGTACTAGAGATTCATATTGTGATTTGGTTGTTGGTTATAAATTTCACGATTTCTTTGCAACTCTCGATGTCGGTCAGTGCTTTTAAGGAATTTGTGTTGGAGCTGTACAGCATATTTCTCTGTGTTGTGTAATCTGGACATCTGAAGAGAAGGTGTTCGACTGTTAATCTTGTTTGGCATGTGTCGCAGCTAGGAGGGTCTTCGCGGGTGATTAGGAAGCGATGTGTCATTCGTGTGTGTCCTAGCCGTAGTCTGTTGATTATTTGCTTTCGCCGTTTTTTGGTGTTTGCGGATGAAAGTTTATACCCATCACCGCACACGTATCAGTGTATGCATCGAATTTCACTTGTTGTATCCTTTTTTGGTCTTTTCTAACGTCTCGATTTTGAGCTAGATTTCGAAAAAATAAATCAAAATCCACACGTGTGTTTCCAGCGCAACCCAAATTCCAAATAATAAATAAATAAATAAATAAATAAACACAAAACAAATGTATTTTCCAGTTAGTTGTAAAAATGATTTTCAAAAAATCTCTTGCGTAACTGCATTACAGGGATTAAATTTTCATTTAATTTGGGAGAACATGGACAACTTTTGTCCCCAAAAATAGAAGTGCAGGGCATTGCAAACTGGTTTTTAATAGTTATTTATGTATGAAGGGCATAATCAAGAGATCATGACACGAGAGAATGTTTAAAGCCCGACGAAGGAGGGCTTTTAATTTCTCGAGGGCCATAATCGATTATGCCCGTGGTACAAACAACGTTTTATTCTATTTTAGCACAATTCCTAAAAAGTTAAAAGGGATTAGTAATTCTTGCAGGAATTTGTCGCTAACCAAATATGAGTGGTGTTGATAGTTGGCGTTTTTTGTGTTGCTATGAATACTGAGACTGTTTATATTATCAAACAATTCGCTGTTGGAAATGCGTGTATCTGAAATGGAAAACGTTTATTCTGACGAAATATTACGTGAATTCGAAATCGCACAAAGTAAAGTGGTTCCTCATAAATCCAAAGATCTATGAAAAAGAATACAGCAAGTTTTGCGAGTGGCAGTATCGTTACTAGGCAATTTTTGACAGTTCTGTGCCATAAAGTCCAATTAATACCCTCATTTGGGTGCTTATAAAAAGGATTATAATCTAAAATAGAATAAAAGATTAAATTACATTAAATGGGCCGAAATTAAACGTGTAAATCATCAATTTCCGCGTGTAGTAAAAAATTTAAAACGGGGTAGGTACATTGTATTCAAATTAGATCGATGCGTAATATTTCCTGGTGTATTTGAACTCGCAAATTTTCTATAAATATGCATCTTAACCTTTAAATAGAAAGTATGACGTGAAAATGGAAATAATATTCCCTTGTAAATATTTAAATTCTTGTGTGATGGGTGGGTGCATATAGTAAAATATTCCGAGAATGTACTCACATTATCTTAAAAGCTGCTTCGACACCGAAAACAAATAATTTACAAGGTGATATAGAAATAGAAATGTATCTATAAATAGGCAATCAAACAGCTGTTATCGATCTTAGGCATTTAAAATGTTTCTATTTATGAAAGTCTAGCGCAATAAGTTGATTAATTTGGAAGGTTCTTTGACCTCGCTTCTTCAAACTCAATACCCTAGTGCGTATAATGGAGTCAAAGTAAACCTTTAGATCAAAGCCCTTCTCTTAGTAAATAATTAAAAATCTACTTTGATGGAGCTTCTGGACGGAACACAATAATTTCCAAAAAACTTTTATAATGATAACTCGTTGAGTGGAAGCATATAGGTACCACTCTTAGTTTACGCGTACAATCCGTATTACCATCGGATTTTGTAATTATAATTAAATTCATTTATACGAAAGAATGTTAGCACATGATTGGCTTGTTTTTGTGGTAGGTACTAGAAAATCAAAAACGGTTACTACTGTTATTTATAATAGGCAGCAATACACTTTTGAAGGTATTTTTATTCTAGTTATAATCGCTTTATTTTTTTAATCTCCATTGTCTTAAAGGCAAAAGCCCATACAATGGAATTGACAGATTCTGTCCAAAAGCTTTTCAGTATACAGACAGACAGATCGGCATACCGACATCAACGAGATTTTGTTTGATTCGGATTCCTGGTGCTGCAAAATGTGTTATTCTGTAAAAAAAATCGGGGGTCATTCTTTACCCCAATGCAATACCTCCCTTCTTAACGTGCCAGTGGTAAAAAGTGTTACAATGACACATATAATGTTACGGCAAATTTGAATTATGAATGTAAATTATCATTAACTCCTCCAGAGCTTCTCGATATTGAAAATATTGCTATAGATGAACTACTTGCACGTCCAAGTACGAAAAACAATTTAACGCTTGGTGCAACCAGAATATTACAACATATGTTTTATTAGCGTACCTACTTCCAGGGTTCTTTGCATTTATTTCACTAGCGTTTTTTTTTGCTTTCGTTTCTTGGAGACAGCCTCCTTGTTTTGTTGAAACATTTTTTTTTATTGGTGCCTAAACCCTCCCGTTTAATACAGTTTTTCCTTCAGTCAACTTTGTTTTAAGATTACCAATTAAGCAAGTAACCAACCGTATTATTAGAATTGATAACATGTCAAGTATTTCACTTACAAATTTTTTATTTTAACAAGCAACCAGTAATTAATATACAAAATTAAAGAAATTTAAACGGAAGTCTCTTTCTGGCCTACTGCCCTTGCATAACACACATAAAATAGAATGGAATGGTAATATAACAGAGGGAAATACTCATAAGCTAACAAATGGAATTTTCGTACTTATCCAACCGCGTTAGAATTTACGACCTTACCACTACAACGCAATATATTTGCTTTGCAATGTTAGCTAATTTTAGGTTTTTCACTTTGAATATGTAAATAAGCCAAACGAACCTAATTCGCATTTCCGTCCAGTAAATTATAATCAGGGAAAGAAGCACATAAAATATAAGAAAAACACACCAGGGAATAAATGTATTGTCTTTATACGGCCATCATTTTTAGCATTATGTAGGAGAATAACCTAGAGCTTCCCAGTAGGGTTAATACTTTACTTCTAGCGTGGGAACAACTTAGATAATACACGATTCCGTGCCGCAGCGGAATACCCTGAATTTATATTAGA